AAATTAACTGCAGTCCTTGAATATTTTCAGTGTTTTAAGCTACCTGCCCTTGCACATGAGGAAATAGCTCACATTCTACTTTCTCTGGTAGAAAATATCTTTTTATAAGTTGTTCAAATACTTGGACTAGAGCCTTTCTGATTATTGCTCCTGCTGACCAGCACAGGTTTTGGAAGGATTTGTGCACACAGCAGTGATGTTTACCAGCTCAACTCATGCCTAAGCTGCTGTCAGCTAGCAAGCTGAGGAAATGAGGGACACGTGTTTGTAACAGAGCAGAGCTCTTGGGACTGAAAGGGTGGAAATACTGCATTAAGAATCTCAACCATCTATTCTAATGCTAACAAGGGGTACGGCTGTGAGCTGAGCGTATAGAAGTGACAGCTGCATACAGATAGCATAAAAATGCATAGTAAGCAACTTTCACTTTTATTTAAATTATGTTGCAAAGCAGCAATTTCAGTGTATTTGGGTTTTCTTTTTCCTTCAACTGAGGGCTCTCGTTTATTGTGTGGAGCATGGCTGCCATCTACTGCTGCACGCAGGATCTGTCTGTTTGGAAGACTGAATTCTTCCTCTGTACAGGTGAGACCACACCTCAGCTCCTGTGTCCAGCTCTGGGCCCCTCAGTTCAGGACAGGCATTGAGGTGCTGGAGCAAGTCTGGAGAAGGATAACAAAGGTGGTGAAGGCTCTGAAACACAAGTCTGATAAGGAGCGCTGAAGGAGCAGGGGGTGTTCAGCCTGGAGATGAGGCAGCTCAGGGGTGACCTTACCGATCTCTACAACGCCTTGAAAGGAGGGTGTAGGCAGGTGGGGGTCAGCCTCTCCTGCCCGGCAACTTTTTGACAGGATGAGAGGAAATAGCCTCAAGCTGAGCTAGGGGAGTTAGGAGGAACTTCTTTGCAGAAAGGGTGATCAGACATTGGGATGCGCTGCCGCTGGAGGTGGTGGCATCACTGTCCCAGCAGATATGTAAGGCTCAGTGCTGTGCTCTAGTTGAACACGGTAGTGTTCAGTCATGGGTTGGACTCGGTGATCTCAGATTTTTTCCAAGAGATTTTTTCTTAATTGTTTCTGTGATTCTGTGTTAGCTAAAAGGAGCTGGCTGGTAGATCATTTAACCAAATCAGTAGCTGCATATGGAATGGTGCTATGATTGGTGATCCTTCATGTTTCTTACTCAGCTGCCCAGAGGCTGAGGAGGAAATAGTCATGTTTAGCAACTTTGTTTGTTAGGACCTTCTCTATCTGCCTGTAAAATGGCTTTTCTTTCTTTTGTTATTCTACCTTGAAACCATCCCATTCAAATACTTTCCCTGTCTATTATTTTTTCTTTCTACTTCTGTGGATCTTCAAAACCTGAATTCGTAAGTTTGTTTGTGAAAAATATGTTTGAGAATTAGTCCTCTCAGGAATTCCTTGTGACTTTTTATCCACTTCTTGATCTTTATGCTATGAAAATTCTTTTAATGGTGTCTTTAAAACAAAGCTGGGCCACTGATAAGAACTGGTTCCTGTTTGCATAACCTCTTTGCAGAATTTCATTCATTACGAAAGATCAACCAGCTTGAAAAAAATGCACTTAATGAAACTTTTCCAATTCAGTGATAAACTGTCCACAGAGCAACTGGACTTCACACCATTAAGCATCTGACTCCCTGACACCTTGCAAATGGCAGTGTGAAAATTTACTTACCACCCCAGTGGTGGCCTTGTGTCTTTTCAAGCATCACCATTGACATCCCAGTCACAAAGGGCAATTACTTTAAAAACACTTGCTCAGAAAACTGTCTTGTAACTTGCATTTTGAAAAGATAAATTGATGCAAAAAGATTCCACAGAAGCTAAATTGGTTGAATTTGGCCTGGAGCAGCCAATTCTGTAAGGTATTCCTTTGCCCCAGGGTTAAAAATATCTGATCTCACATGATGTCAATAAATTAGGCCTATAAATTGCCAGTTATGAGGCTTTGAGAACTGCTGTGGTAATCCAAAAGATACATTAAATTTAGCTTCACTTGCACTGAATTTGAACTGATTTTATTCTAAAGTCCTGGAGGCTACTTGTTAAACACGTTTGTTTTCATTTTTATTACAAGATTGAAGAATGAGTAGAACTGCTTAATTTTGCATCCGAGAGCCAGTTTAAACAAATGGATATTTTTGTGACTTTACAATGGATTTTGTAGTCAAGTTTTAGTTTTAAATATAAGGCCAGGTAGCAGGAGCACATAACTATGGTCCAAGTTCCATGAGGTAACCGTGATTAAATGATATAATTTGCTTTTGCTGTAACTTCTGAAAGTGTAAAATTATACTTTTGCATTTGTATCTTAAACACAGATGGGTCACAGTGACTGACTAGGGTGGTCTGTGTCCAACTGGAATAATTTCTGTGTCTGTATTTTAAAGGACATAGATATGGATATATATATATATATATAGGATGTAATGTAGCAAAAGCTGCAGCTTTTCTATTTTCTAAGAATTAATTGATTTTCTAAGTCTGAACACCCCCTGTCCACCTCTTCCTTTCAAAGGCAAAATTCCCACTGACTTAAAACACAAGTTGTAACAGGTGTTAAGAAGTTTATTCATAAAAGGTCTTCCATAAAGCACAATTGCATACCGAGAAGAACGACAAAATATGCAGATCTATTCAATAAATTAGGCGAATGAAAAGCTTAGAAGGTTTTTTTTAAAAGGAAAAATGAAGCCTAACGCACATACTTATGGTTGAAACACCTCACGCATTCCAAGCTGCTGCACACACACCGAGCTGATCGATGGTGGTGCACACACCCCGAGCTGATCTATCGTGCTGCACACAGGCCGTGACTATCGTGGCGTGCGGAAGAGCGGGTTGTTTCTGACATTTGGAAGCGGTTCCTGCCGCGCAGGAGGCCGATGTTGAGGGTCGCTGTTCCCTGACGCGCCGCACTGCCAGCGCCCTGGGCCGCCCCCTGCCATGGCCAAAGATGGCGGTGGCGGCGCCGCGGCTCCGGCACCGCCCGGCGGGCGGGNCAGGTGCGGGGGGCGGCGCGGCGGGGGTGACCGGGAACGCGGCTCCTCACGGGAGGAGGAGGAGGAGGCTGGAAACGTGGGTGTGCGGAAGGACAGACGGCGTCTGAAAAACGCCAAAGCATTCGGGGACGGTTTCCCTTTCGGCGGCGTTTGTTTTGCTGTGAGACAGCGCCTGTACCCCGCGGCCGGGCCGGGAGTGTGGCGGGAGCTGCCCCTTGCCCTCCAGAGCCCGCCGGGATCTGCCTCTCCCTTCCCAAGTACCAGCCCGCTGCTGCCCTGGCGCTTCTCGCTACGGCCTGGTGGAGGAGCGCTCGTTCGATGGGGTCGAGAGCGAATATGGTAGTAAAGACGTACACAGTGTGAATAAAATGAAAATAACTTTTTCCGATGACAGGACCCGAGGGAATGGCCTGAAGTTGTGTCAGGGGAGGGTTAGGCTGGATATCGGGGGAAGGTTCTTCACCCAGGGGGTGTCTGGGCACGGGAACGGGCTCCTCAGGGAAGAGCTCACAGCACCAAGGCTGACAGGAGCTCAAGAAGTGCCCGATGATGCTCTGGGCCGTGACTCTCAGGGATGGATGGTGCTGTGCAGGGCCGGGAGCTGGACTCCATCCTGATGGGTCCTTTCCAGCTCGGTTTGTTCTGTGACTCTGTGCCTTCAGCTGTTCTCGTTTCAGCCCCTGAGTGTCCAGGCAGGCCCTGGTGACCCTGTGGTCTCTTGAAAGAGCCAAGCTGAGTGTTCCTCAATACTGGCACCTTTTCCATTTCCAGTGGGAGTATTGCTCCTCAAAACATTAATTAAAAAAAAAGGATTCCAAGAGTAAAATCACTTTAACAATATCCCCATCAGATGAGGAAGCAGAACTGATGTATGTTTTATCAGAACTGAGTTATTTGTTTAGTTTCTAGTGACCTGTGTTAGTGTTACTATATTCAGGAAGGGGTGAAAAAAGTGTTTGGTCTGCTGTGTTGTCAAAAAGACAAAAGGGAACCCTGTGTTGGTATGTTTGTCATGTGAGGCCTATGGGGAAAATGCAATTTTATGCTTTATAAGCAAGTCTTTTTCAACCTCACCTTTTTACTGTAGTAAAAAGAAAACAAACCCTAAAAAACAACAAAGCAAAAAAAACCAAACACACACACACAAAAAAAACCCCACAAAAAAAACCCCAAACTCAAACCAGGACAATCTGATGTAAATGAATTATTGTTTTAGAGAACATGAGACCACAAGATGTTTAATTATGCAAGTAATTGTTTGGCCTCTTAAAGTTCATGTGCCTTTTGTGTTTGCATGCCAAAGCTACCTCAGACCCACCCCAGTTTCCTTTGGCATTGGGGAACCAGTTGTGATGTTTTGTTTCATTTTGCTGGTTTAGGTTGTGGAACTCTGGCAGTGCTGGAACAAAATGAAGCTGAGATTGTTCTGCTCAGGAGGTAATGCAGAGTTATCTTTTATTTTTGTAAGAGAAAAACTTACTGTGTACTTGTGAGTGCCAGGCACAACTGAAATGTTTTTGGTTATTTTTAGTGATATAAAGTATTTTTTCTATTCTGAAGTAGCTACTGAATACAGGTCTTTGTATTTATGTAGAAATTAATGTATTTATATTTATATGCAATACAAAAGATATATTTGCATTGTATTGATTTTGTTATGGGAAATCATCTGGCTTGCACCATTTCTATAGTGTAGACCATTTTATAGAAAACTGACAACGTGATTTAAGAGCAGCTTCTCTGCCCTAGATTGAAATTATAAGTTCTAGCTTTTTAGGCAGAGTGCTTTGACACCTAGATTTATGCCCTTATGATTGATTTATACCAAAAATAAAGCAGAAAGCTATGTCAAGTCATGGAGGTCCTTCCTAGGAGATAAAGTTTTCTAAGGGTTTTAGGGAGGTTAATTTTGTTGTGGATGGAAGGAGGAGAAAGGTTAGAAAGGAGGGGGTTTAATACTTGACTGTTATTGACCTAAAATGTTTTAAGGAAAGCCTTGAAACAGTGATTGCTTAGATTAAGATGGCTGACATAGAAATGCTTAAAAAATAGTTAATCATATTCAGAAGAAATTTTTTTCATTTATAATTATAAAACGAGACTCTTTGAAGACGTTCAAGACTCTGTCACTTCTGGTAAGTACTCTGGTTTAGTACAGTCCATTTCTGTTTCTACTGACTTCACTTATTTTGTGGTAGAAAGCCCTCTTTGGTTTCTGACCCAAAGACCATGTTGTTTATCAAGGTGCTCTGTCTGCATACCTTTACCTTATCATTACTGCAGGGTGACATCAAATTTGACCTAAGCTTAGCTAAACCTTCAGTGAAAAGGGGGAAATAAATTTGTATTTTCCATCAGATAATATTGCAGTAATTGATAGCTGTCGCAGAGTAACTAATATATGGCATCGGATCCTGTATGGTAAATTGCTGGTGTGTTGAAAGCATTTTCAAAGGAGTGTAGAGTTCTTCAGTAAAATCTTTACTGTGTTTCTGTAGGGTTTTCATTTGGACTCAGATTCATAGTGGTATCGTGAATTGGATAGTGCTCTCCCAGCACAGTTTTATTCCTTTCTTTATGACAGTTGTTAGAAGCAAAATGCTCTTACCTTCTGGAGAAAACATAAATCAGACTGAGTATGCTGTACCTCTGTTTGTGTGGCAAGTTTTAGACTAAAATCAGAGTTCCTTCTTTGTGTGTGCAAGGTCCTTGGCTCATTTATGCTATAACTTAATCTATCTATCCTAGCATACGGTTATAGAAATTGACATTCAAACAAGTAAATTAATTGTGAGGAGATTCACTGAAAACTCAAATATATAAAAATGTTATTTAGAATGGTAAAAAAGGCGATTTAAGGAAATACTTTCTTTGCATGGAACTAGTCCACACTTTTATGTCATGCTTTCTCACAGATGAATATCTTCATTTTTCCCATTTAGTTTTGACTGGAACGATGGCCTGTTTGATGTGACCTGGAGTGAGAATAATGAAAATGTGTTGATCACTTGTAGTGGAGATGGATCTCTGCAAATCTGGGATATGGCTAAAACCAAAGGTCCACTGCAAGTCTATAAAGAGCACACTCTGGAGGTAAATCAGGCAAACTTAAAAAATTTAATAGATACTCTAATGTTTGAATAATTAAAATATTTATTTGTAGCCTTATAATCAAAAGTGGCTTTTTCTTTTCTAACTTTTTTGAGTCCGTGGTTTGAATTAATAACTTGTATATAAAGTGGATGTACATATTCTTGTGCATGTTCATACTCTGCAGTAGGTACTGCTTGATTACACAAACCTAATATATTCAGAAATAGCATTTGTGGTTCCTTACAGGCTAAGTAACCATTGTGATCTATGAAATTATTTTAGTCACACTGTGATTTTTAGAGAGCCTTATTAGATAGGTCTAAATCAGACAGCTGTTATATCAGTCTTATTCTTGAGGTTGTGGAATGATACAGAGTATGCAGATACTTAGCACTTGGATTGCACTTGGATCTGCTTTTCCTTTTCCCTCCTAGCATCTGTGCAATCCTACTCAAATAACAGTAGTCAAATGATGGGACTGTATGTATGTTTTTTCAGCCTTGGTTTGGTACTGTTGCATTTGATTGTCTTAAAATCTGTTTCTTTATGCAATGCTATATGGGTAGAGAAGAATGTTATATTCAGGCTCATAAGTATATTTGCATAGTTTTAAGGATATTTATACTGACAATCTTCCCTAAAGTGATTTTTCTTCCCTTTTTTTAAGCTTTCCTTCTAACCCTCCACTCCTGTTAAGTCTTTGAACTTAAGATGCAATGAGTTTCAGCCTGGATTTTACTGACTTTATTGATACTTTATCTAAATCACATCAATTTCAAGAAAATAATTTAGTAGATCCACAGTCAAAAAACTGATGGAGGAAATGCAGTTTTGTTCCCAAAAGCCTCAAGATTTTTTCAGATATGATGCACAAATTTAAAAGCTGAATGACTGGATTTATACAAGAGCCCATCTTCTGTAGATTATTTCTTTGTAGTTTTTCTACTTTGGTTTAATACACCTACTGTGTCAGCTGAGAATTTTGAGAGAGGATTTTCTAGTTGTGATCAGGATTTTGTGATAATGTTCAAAAGCTGATAGTAGTTACAGAAAGACGTAGGTGAAGCATAGTACATTTTTTTTTGTTAGTTTCTGTCATTTTCTCATTGAAATTGTGTCAGTAAGTTTATTTTGGTTCTGCTACACCATCTGTTGTTTGTGAAATAAACATTTCTGTGTCTATGTCTTAGCTGAGCTGGTAGCATAGGAGGTGGACATACTCATCTGTGCTTAGAAAGGCTGTATAAGAAACATGGGCTGACTGAGAGTTTATTGTGAGATATGAAGGGTTTGTATTGATTCTTTATAAACCTGTATTAAGAGGATAGATCTCAGAAGGAATTTACCTAGTAATTTGTGGTAAACACTGGCAGACAGTGTTCTCACTACCTTCCTAATCCTTAATCTCTGGCTGACATTTTTAATGACAGTTTTGTCACTGCATTTTATATTCTTTCTAATGGATGATTGACAGGGATCTGTTTCTTTTTTTTCTAAATTACATCATTGTCCCTTCTCAAAAAGAATGTGCATTTTTAACTTAAAAGTGAATTTGCATTATCAAAGGACGATGAGTTTTATTTCAGCACTAGCCAACTGCTGAATCTCATGAATAAATTAGTCTAATTTACTTTGGTTTTGACGAAATCTCACTGGACTGTAAGATAATAGAATGTTTCAATTAAAATTGTCTTGTAAAGTGAGCATGAACATTTATTTTAAGCTATTTTTTAATGTTTTTACATATTTTTTTCCCTCATCTTTTAATCTTGCCTGAGGCATTTCTTGCAGCTGTTTGGGCACAAGCTAGGGTTCATTTATTTTATGATTGAAGATAAAGCACTAAAAGATTAACAGCTAAGGTTTATGCTGTGTTAATAGTCTTTCCCAGTTACTCAGCACAGCTTCCATTGAAATGTGTCTAAATTTATGTTGGAGGATAGCATGAGGAGGAAAGAAGAATACAAGTGAGCCTTACTGTGTTCTTCACATTGTCTTCTTTTCATCCTCTTCCTATTGCACAGACCTGTCACATGCCAAATGGACAGTATCTCTTGTTTTTCCCGAGCCTGTTTTCTGTTCTGTTTGTAATTGTTGCCCGAAGGAGAGTTCGCCCAGGTCCTGCTGCCTCTGCTGCAGCTGCAGAGCGCTGAGCAATGCCAGCCCTGTGTGCCATAAGTGCCCGGGGCTGTGTCACAACACGTGCTCAGCAGATCTACCTGCCCATAGCTTGGGAGTGAGCTGGGAGCACTGTGTGTGCTTTGGCTTATCCTTGTAGTTTATCTGATACATCCCAAGTACAATGTGTTGAATAGCAGCTATGTGGATTGTGTGACACAGGTGCATGTTTCCCAAAGATCTGTTTCTTCCTGGAAGACCTTGAATATGAATGTGACAGCCAAACACTTACTGAGCTGTTGTGTGAAAGAGGCATATTGTGCAGTGACACAGTTAGGGACATTTCAAAACAGCAGCAGTTCAGGAGTTGAGCTCAGGCCATCATGCAGATTCAAAGGCAAAGAGAGAAATATTTCTCTCTTCGACAGAGAACTTGGGAGCCACTTTGGAGAACTATCATGTCTTCCATTCTTAGAATCTAAGGAGAGGTTCTGGTGTGTTTCCTTTGTTACTATTTTAGTAGGAAGAGTTATAGTGGAAAGGAGCATGTTTTAATGAGCTGTAGTACAATTATTTAGCTAACAAAACTAGAAAAGTCAAGAGTATGGTTTGGCAAAAAAACCCAAAATAATTACCTCTCGGTTATATGGCTTTTGTCAAGTACTGTCCCATTGTCTTATACATTGGGACTATAAGCTCCTCAAGGAAGGGAGTTAGTACAAAATGCTTCTAGGGCAGTATGGTTTTCAGTATATGGGAAGCAGAACTTTGTCAAATAAAAGGACAGAGTTGCAGATAAAGCAGCTTCTTGTTCTCTGGGCAGTGGCTGCCTTTCATTTATGGAAGATAAGCAAGTGGATGAAAACCAGCTCATTTAAGCTGGATCTAACATAGACTGAATTATTTCTTAGGAAGGAAAATGCTCAGAAATAGCTAAATATTACCTCGATTTCCATTCTCACACAGGACACTTTCCATAGAAGACTTTGACAATTGCTGGATTTCTTTCTCTTTCAGCTTCTCTTCTTTTTTAGTCTGGTGACACAGATCCAAGCACACCAACAAACAGGGTTGCTGTTATTAAATGCACAATTCCATCTATCCAAGACAAACCCAACATCTAGGATGCTGACTTTCAGACCATATCCAGTGCTGTGCTAGAACTAGATTATCCTAGGTGGAGTACAAATCCTTAGTGGTTAGTAGCCCAGCTATTGAGAGCAGTGCCACCTACTACTCCTTGGTAGTAACCACATTTCTGAGAAGTGTCCTGGGAGCTCGGATTGGGTCAGGAGGTGAAGTGGATGAGCTGTTTTATCTAATATTTATAGCCTATTGAATCACTTAGTTGTGAGGTAGAACCAGACAAAACAGAATGCACCTTCCATCAAGTAATATGTATTTGAAGGTGGAAGTTGTACATGTACTTGAGACTTGAAGATTTTAAATAATTTGAAGAACTACCTTAGTGCATTTGTTTTTGTGAGGCAGCAGAAAAATCAGGAGTGAAGGGTGGAGTTAAGGTATCCTCTGTGAAAGCAGGGACCAGCATTAGAACACGCTATCAGGAAGAGGGAACTTATTTCAACTACACAGAGGAAAGTAATTTCTTAATAGCTGAAATGGGTAGTTAAAAGGGACAGTGAGTTTTTAATTTATTTTATTTTACTTGTTTGAGGATTTGGATGGTAAAAAAAGAGTCCATAGAACTTGGAAAAGATGAAAACCAGGAGTATTTTATGACATATATTTCTTAGGAGAATTAGGTATAATAAAAAAGCAATTTTTGTTAGTCAGCTAAAACCTCAAAGTCACCTTTGAAGAGAGGTGGCATTTACAGTGAGAGATGGCTAGCAATTGGAAACTGTAAATATTTGAATAAAATTGTATCAGTAATAAGAAATCAAGTCTGAATGCTGGGTTTTAAAGTGGTAGACTCCTAGTGATGGCAGATGTATGTGGATTTTGTTACAACTTTTCTTCTTCCTCTGTTTTGGCCCATCTTTGCTTTTCTGGATACTTTTCTTAGCCTGTATGTACCTTTAAGGTCTGACTGAGATGCTAAATTTATTTTTTGTTCAGGTAAATGCCATTGCTGGCAGTTTTGTTGTGCTTTAGTGGTATGGTTTTTTTAACTGACTAGGATACAATCTGAAAATCCAAGTCTATTTTGTGAAACTATGGCTAACTACAGCCTAAAACTTGTATTCTAATGCTTCTTCTAAACTATGCTCTTATGTCTCTTACAGGCATACAGTGTTGACTGGAGCCAAACTAGAGGAGAGCAGCTAGTGGTGTCTGGCTCATGGGATCAAACAGCCAAGCTGGTATGTTGGTTTTCTGTGAAGGTAAAAAGTGTGATTTCTTTTGGATCTCATAGTTCCTTGTATTAAGAAGCAACATGGATTCTCTTTTACTCTTTATTTTTACCTTGTGGCTGAAATTCTGCTTTAATTGACAGGTTGCTTAAACTCTCAGTTGATACCAGTTTAAGCATTTTTTTTTTAAAATAAGAAGTTCATATAGTCCTGTATGTATGTATAAAGATTTTTTTTTTTCAATGTATGAAACCCTTTCATTTCTTACTGAATGTATATCTTGACAGTTTTGTTTTTTCCTTTATTCAGTGGGATCCAGCTGTGGGGAAGTCATTATGCACTTTTAAAGGCCATGAAGGGGTCATCTATAGCACTATATGGTCTCCACACATCCCGGGTTGTTTTGCGTCTGCCTCAGGTAAGCGTGATGGTAAAGAGGCTCTCACAACAGAAACCCAGAAGCTGCCTGTGTTAGTGGATCAGTTCAGCACTTTGTCCAGCAGATGGTAGTGTGTGTCATATACACTTGTTCTGTAAAAATGGAACAAGGAAAGGTAAATGTATTGCTGCGGCTGGATTTGTAGGTTCTGTTAGAGTCAGTAGATCATCCTCTTGGCCATTGAAACAAGGATCAGCAGTTTTCTAGCAGTGACCTTGTGACAATTTTTTCTGTTATTTTATATAGCTGTCTTCCATTCATCTCACTCTTGTTATTTATTGACCACTAAATTGTGTTATATACTTTATTTTGCATTTTGACAGTGCTATGGGTCTTGCTGGTAAATACACTCACAGTTGAGTTGAGTGTACACAGAGGCAAAGAGAGGTGAGGTGGTGGTGTTTTCCAAACACTGCTCCTTCTTCAGAGGCACAAGAAGAGCTCTGGTGTGATACTTGGAGCCCAGCTGATGATTAACTGTGAGAGAGGTGCTGTGAGCCACAGAGTTTGCCTGGGAAATAAAAGGGCTATAAGGTACTGCCTTAATACAAATATTGATAGATAATTCCAATGGCCTAAATTTCTCAGATTTCATATCTGTTGTACTTCTGTACTGATTTAAATAGAAATTGTTTGGCTCTTTTATCAGGAGGGTAAGTGGGTATAACTATGTCTTCCTGTTACTGATGTTAGAGGGACAGTGTGTACACACAGATACTGGTCTTCTCTATTCTGTGGGAAGTCAGATGAAATAGCACATGTGCCTTTCATAAAATTCCAGTCTGGCTGTTTCCATCTGAAATTCATTCTGCCTGCAGAGTTTAGCTAGAATGATGAAAGAGTAACATTTATTTGTTCTAATAAACATAGTAGTGCTTGAAAGCCAAATGTTGGAGCACAGGTTTTTCGACCTTATGTGGTGGATACCCATCTAACAGGATGTGGAGAAACTTACAGGATTGAGCCCTGTACACTATATGAAAAGTTCTACTGAAATGCAACTATATATACTAGAAGAATACTAGCTAGGGATCATTTGGTCAAAGTTAAGTGCTTTTTTTTGCAAGTTCTAAGCAATTTTAAAGTCCTGCTTAGAACTCTCCTGTCCATTGTAGTCTTACTCATACAGAATTTCTGGCATTCTAGATGAACAAAAGGGCTTTGCTGATACAACTGATTATTTCAAATTTGAACCTCTTGGATATGAAGCCAAGCTTTTTTCTAATACATTGGTACTTGAACAATTTGGGGAAACATTGATTGTTAGATGCTGTATGTTGTGGTACCTAAATTGGTTACAACAATTGATCTGTTCTTTGAATGACTCAGTAGGTGCAGCTGTTGGAAGTTTTGACTAAAATACTGCAGAGTTCCTATTCTGTTAATTTTTACTTTGATGTTTGAAAGGGACTAATGTGCTACTGGAGCCTAAAGCTAATTGCAAACAGTTTTCACTCATTGATGGAAAAACAACATGCACAAAAGACACAGTATTTTTCTTCTCTAAGTACTTCTTGGGTGTGAAATAAAAATCTGCTATCAGTACATTGATCATGACATGCTGATGTGGAAGGGTTTCTGTGTTTGTATTGTTTACACTGAAATTTTCCTGTGGTTTGATTGGATTGCTTCACTACAGAAAATACATATTGTCAGTCATTTCTTTGGTCAGCAGGACTGTGGATAGTAGAAGGACTCATGACCATCTAGCTTTGTGTATAAATGCCTTTTCCTTGTAAAAAAGGTCTATTGCACAGAGAGCTTTTTGTTTAGTGCTTAATGACATCCTACTCTGTCAGTGAAGGTAGATGATGAAAGTAAAGTGGAACTGTTCAAGGAGGCTGGTTGTCCTCATTTAAAACTTGCTATGATCTGCATACTCTATGAGGATGACAGAAAATCATGGGACAGAAAGCTAAATTTCACTGATGATTCATCTTCTATTGAGCTAAAGTTGGAGCTGGAGAGAAACTTGAATCTCAATGTGATAGTACTGTGTCAGATTTAGAGCTGTTCCCTTCTTTGGGATGTTGGGAAGGTTGACCTGCAGTTTTGTGGTATCTTATTTTGCAATCTTTTGTTGTCTTGAAAATTAGTATCTGAAATGAGTCTGGAGGGAAACTTTTTGCACTTCTTTTAATCTCATTGGGTTTTTTCACTTTTGAAAACAATAGCTTTTTCGGATGTTGTTATTGAAGATTATTGAAATATTCCTTTCTTGAAGGAGTCTGTACTGCTTTGGGATAGTCAGTTGTCTGTGTCTGTGTCTTTTTTTCTCTCTTTTTGCCCCACCTGTCCCCTTTCTCTCATCCCACCTAACACATACCTACTCAAACCATATACTTACTGCTATCTTAATAGTATAGTTGTGATGCTTGAGAAATGAACTATTTTATGTTGCAGCATCTTCAGTTCTGCATGTACGAGTAAAATAAGTTAGATATGTAAACCACAGATTGGAAAAAATGTTGGTCTTTAAATACATCTGATTAAACTAAATGTAAGTAAAACAATGCACTCTTTTTTTTTCCTTTAAGGGAAGTAAGCAAGAGGAAAGAAGGTTTAAAAACATTTTGCATGCCACACCACTGCCATTTTTCTGCCTTTATTTGAATCACTACAGAATCCTGCAGAAGTTTAATTTCCATGTAACTAATTAGTTTGTGAACACTGAAAACAGAAAAGCAGACAGAATCACAAACTACAGTAAAATAGCTGCTCAAAAGGATCAACTTAGGCCTGAAGCTAATATTTGATTTTGAAATATGGCTTTTTATCAAGCTGTTATGAGACGAGAAAAAGAATACAAGTGAAGAAAATGAGAAATGTAAGATGGCAATATAAAGCAATTGAAAAAGAATTTGATACGAAGTATTGCCTTTTTTGCTTCATTAAGTCTCCATTCTGAATACATACAAGAAAACTGAGCTTGTCTGCAGTGGGCAGTAAAATGCAATTGAATTGCGAAGGATATATATGTCTGATGCTTCAGTTAAATTAGGTTTTATTCAGCATCTAATAAACTTCCATTTAACATTTATGGGGTCTGTGAGGTACTTTACCATGATTCTGAATATGTAAATAAGTGCTGTTGTGATGTCAGTAGCAATTTCTGAGCAGATAAGATAAGCAGGATGTTCAGGTCTACGTGTGGCACCAAACCAGAGCCCTGGTAAATGTCTGCCTTATGCTGAAAACACACTGATGTGGAAAATGTCATTAAAGAAGTGACATGAATGCTTAACAGCAGCCTCATGGCTAAGGGGGTTTAATGACTCATTATGTCATTTGCCTTGAATATTTTTTTTTCTTTTTTAACCCAGAGAGTAAATTGGTGAGAATCTCATAGAGAACGTTAGAAATGTATGCAACAGTAATATTTAGTCAAATGTTAATCAGTTCTACTAGCTGATTCTCCATGACTGCAGAGCAATAGGCCTTGCTCAGTCCTGTGGTTTATAAAGAAAGCATCCTTTTCAGTATCAGCTGGGTTTATTGTCCTTTAACAGTAGAAAGTATTTAATGAATACCATTTAGCCTTTATCTGCATAACTGTAGTAGTCTTCCATACAGATCCAACTCTGACAAATGAAAATATGAATATTTTGGATTAGACAAAGCCCAGATTTAGAATGACTGATAGCTATTTTCTTTAATACTGGGACCTTAGTTTTAATGCTGCATTCTTTTTTAAATAATTCTTTAAGTTCACTGATCAGGGAAGGTACATAGTTTTAACAACATCTTAACTCATGAATAAGGATAAGAAATTTTTCTCAAATCTGCCTGGCAATGTCTGTATTTATCAGTATTTAGATTGATTAATTGTATTCCTTGCTCAAAGACTTGTTTTTAAGCCTGAAAGCCGAGGGCAAAAAATTTTCTTACCACAATAAGGTATGATAATTTCTGATAAATTTTTATTATGTTGACAAAAGTGTTGGATGACTGTAGTTT